TTTAGCCTTAAAATGACTCCGCAGATGGAGATGGAGACGCCAGCTCCGCAGCAACCCTCAGCAGAACTTCTCAAGGACGGGTTACTCACAGCACGCGGGGCAGGGACTGCTGCACTGCACAGGGGTTTCCTCCTCAAATGCAACAAGCAGAGAGAGCAAAGAGGCTGTGAGCAGAGTCCTGCACGTGAACCCGTTATGCTGCAAAGTGAGCTCTTCCAAAATTGAGATGTGCTGCAGAGCTCAGAGCCAGGAGGGTTCCCATGGAAGAGGCAGTCAGCCTTCAAAAGGTGACGAGCACACCTCTGGCAACCTACAGGCAGCCTCACAAGCCCGGCAGCTGGGGCTTTCCAGCCCTTAAGACCACAAAATCCTCCTGTCAACAAGCTCCACCTCAAGAGCGCGCACCCAACACCGCACAGCCGGACCAGGAGCGTTCATCCTTCCCAATGCCACCTGAGGGATGCGGCCGTGGGCACCCGCAGGGTGGGTTCGCCGCCCCCGTCCCCCAAAAACAAACTGTTCGAGCTGATCCGAGCCACCCCCGCTCCACCATCTGTGGCACAAGCGGCCCTCCTCGCACAGAAATCCCCCACTTGCTCCGACGTCTCACCGGAGGAGCGGCCGCAGCTCCTTCCCGCACCGGCTCTGTGTAATGGAATTATTAATCCAATCATTCTGCAGGCCTGGATGTTAACGGCTTTTAATTACGTAGCTTAAGGACACGGGCTCATTCCTGAATTACCGCGCCACGTTCCGGTGCCCGGCACAGCAACAAAGGGAGCCGAGAGGAGGCAGCTGCCCCTTTCATCCCAGATTAAAGGGCAGGCAGGGCCTGCAGTCCGGCAGCCACCACTAACAGCAGGGAAAAAAAATATTTAAAAAGTACCTTTGGGGCGTTAGCAGGATTACTCAGCGCCACAGAAACTGGTTAAGAAACCGAAGAGCTGATAGAACCTCAGCGATGCTTTCTTGTTTTATCTCACGGGGACGAAGCAGGGCACGCTGTGGTTGTGCTTTCTAGTGAGGTGACACTAGAAAGCCCAGGACACGCAGAGACTGCTCTTCTCCAGCCACCAGCGTCCCCCAGGTGTCACCAGCTGTGATTTCCCTCTGCTGCCGCCCCTCAAGAAGCTCACTGCAGAGAGGGGATGACCTTGCTGTGCCTCACCAACCCTCCTCACACAGACAGGGAGACCCCTCCCCAACACAGGGCTCGCCATGGTTTATTTTGTGGGCAGCCCAACGCTGCGTTCTGCACCGAGCTGGAACAAAGGTCACAGTTCCTTCATTTTTGTTTTTAGTGGCAAATTCCAGCTCATTGGGAGCGAAGCTGGACAGGACCTAAATACCCAGATGAGGACTAACGTGAAAGGAGCAAAATTTGTGCTATGGTCTGACGAAAATTAACGCGAAATGAGCAAAACCCAGGCTATGGCCCAACTTCTCAGCGCAGGAACGCGCAGCAGCAACGGGCTTGGATGGCATCACCTCGCCCTGCCACCTTCCCTCAAGACCCTGCAACCACAAGACCTGCTGCTGGAGGAGAAGCAGGGCTGCCCCAGGAAAGCTGCCCCAAAAGGGGGAGCACAAACCAGCCCCAATGAAGAACAGCTGGGAGCTTCTCTGCCCGCACCGAGCGGCGGTCGGATCAGCTTCAGTGTTTTGGTCGCTTTGCTGTACGGGAGCATCAACTTTTACAGACCTGCGACAGCAAAAGCTTTGGAAGTTTAAACGCTTCTGCAAAAGAAATATAAATAATTAAAAAAGAGGAGAAAAAAAAAAAAAAAAGTCCACCGGATGACTCAGAGAGCCAACAGTGCAACCCGCGTGCGGTGCCGCGAGCCCTTCCAGGAAGGGACGCCTCCTCCAGAAAGAGGAGCCCTGACTCAGAAAGTTCTTGGAAACGCACGGAGACTCACCGAGCTGCTTCCCCGCGCCCCACCAGCTCCGAGCGGGACGCCGAGCTGCTGTCCCCGAGCACAGCCACGCTCTCAGGGCAGCAGCCCCATCCCCGAGCCCTGAGTCCCACGGGGGAGTCAAGGTGGCCACCAGCAGCCCCCGTGGCACGGAGGGGGACCCCACACACCTTGCTGCCTCCAGCTGCTGCCAGGCTGCGACTTCCCAGGGATGAAGCCACCTGCAGGAACCGCACGTGGGGGAGGAAATCCCTTCCCGGCCCTCCGGGGGAAGCTCCGAAGTGCAGGAATCCAGCACCCAAACCACGGCACGAGCTGGCAGCGCCGCCTCCAAACCCCTCTGATGCATCAGCACCCCAGCTCGAGGACTCATCCAACCCCGGGCTCACGCTGGGAGTTCCCTGCCGGGTTACACAAACACCACCTCCAGCTTAACCCCTTCTCCCCGCGGCACCAGAGAGCCTGGGAGCGAAACCCACAGCCCTGGGGACGCCCGCGCCGAGCCGAGCAGGCACTGCCCTTCAGATCTGCACCGGGCAGGACCAGGCTGGGGTTTTCTGACCCGAGCTGATGTCACTGTGTGCGTTCAGCACCCCATAAATCACCGCAGCAGGGCCTTCCTCGCGCACACGGATGGATTCTCGCCTGACTCAGGCGTGCCGACACTTTTACAGCCAGGTGTGGTCGCTCGGCTCATCCAGCCCCAGCTCGAGAGGGAAACGATACCGGGCTGCTCGGTGACACTCTGCTCGCCAAACCCCGGCGTGGGATTAAATAACGGGGGCTTCTAAATAACACCAGTTACCTACAGGGTCAATTCCTACCCGATTCCTGTCCCTGAGCACCAGCTCCGAGCGCCCTGCTAGCCTTACTATTGCTGGCATCATTTTGACACGCTACAAGTTCAGGAAAAAAAAGGACAAAAGCCAACAAAACCAGACTATTCCACACAGAAAATTACAGCAGGAACAGAGCTGCCTCCAGTCCAGCAAGAGCTCAGGCAGGATCCACGGGATGCCCTTCACCAGGGTGCCCGCGAGGTGTCCGGGGACATTTCGGTGACATCCTGAGGCCGAGCAGCAGCTGGACACGAGGGGTTTGTAAGAACCGGGGGCTGTGCGACCCCACCAGCCGTGCGGATGCCACGGAGGAACAATAAAAGGATGTAGCAGCAGCGCTCCACCATCGGGGAAACTCTTCCCACATCCGGGCGGCTCAGCCCAGGGGCTGCTCGCTCGCAGCCTGCCCCCAGCGATTGCCAACCCCGATAACGCCCGGGATCCCCTACACCCAGAACTCCTCACCAGCAGGCGAGCCCAGCCCCTTCCTGGAAGCGTTTCATTGCCGCTCACTGAAAGCCCTGGGCTGCACGGGGACCATTTGTCAGCTCTGCCAGCAGGACAGGCTCATATGTACTGTTGTTGCACAGCAGAAGACACATGTTTAGTTGACAGAGCTTCTTTCAAGAAGTGTTTCTGCAGCAGGAGAAAGGCACAAGTGCACCCAGCACAAACGCAGAGCTCAGGTACCTGGTAAAACCTACAGGCTTTGTGCAAGAACAAGTCCCCGGGAGATTTCACCCCCAGAGTCAACCACGGAGGCAGATAGGGTCAGACAATCCCCACCTAGTGCTGCGCAGAGCTGTGGGATGCAAGAGGTTCTGGGGAACTGCTGTGGTGTTAAAAGCCCCATCCTGAACTTGGCTGAGCTCTTCTCGCCTCGCATGTGTTCAAAGAGCAGAAAACCAGCAGCTGCTGCCTCCTCCAGCACCCAGTAGAACACAAAAAACCCAAACCCCGAGCAAGCAGACCACCAGCACCATCAGCTCGAGGTTATGCTGCAGCAAGAAGCGCCCTGTGAGGGCTGCCCTGACCCCCAGCCCCTCTGCTGTGCCCCCAGCCAGGGCTGCTGGCGAGGCTTTGCCTGAGATGACAAAAAGCAGGGCACCAGGTCCTGGCTGCACAGCCAGAGAATCCCAGCACCATTAGGGTTGGGAAAGAACTCCGAGATCACCCGGTCCAGCTGCCCCCTGCCACCACCACCCCCTGCCCCTGTCCCCCAGCACCACGTCCAACCTCTCCCTCAACACCCCCAGGGACGGGGACTCCCCCACCTCCCTGGGCAACCCGTCCCAACGCCTGAGCGCTCTTGCTGAGGAGAAATGGCTCCTCATTGCCAGCCTGAACCTCCCCTGGCACAACTCGAGGCCGTTCCCTCTGCTCCTGGCACAGTTCCCTGTGAGCAGAGGCCGACCCCAGCCCCCACCCCTTCCTCCCAGGCAGTTGCCCCCCACCCCCGGGCACCCCCTGCCCCCAAATCCCCCCCCCAGGGATCTCAGGGCCGGGCCCAGCCCCTCAGGGCCCCCCCTGGGCTGAGGCCGAGCCCCCCGTGAGGGCCCCACGGAGGCCGCGGGGCCCTGCCGGGTGCCGGGCCGGTCCCGCGGGCTGCCGGCGGTGCCGTTCCCGACCCCTCCCGGTTGTTCCCGGTCCCTCCCGGTGCTTCGCGGCCCCTCCCGGCCCCGTCCCCGCTCACCCATGGCCCCGGGGCCGCCGCGGCCGCCGCCGCCTCCCGCAGCCGCAGCCCCGCGGCCTCCGCTCCCCTCGGCGGCCACCTGACAGCGGAAGTGACGCACGGCCCGGCCCGGCCCCGGCCCCGCCCCTCAGCCGCCAGCCCGCCTCCTGGCGGCCGCCACCGAGATGGCGTTTAAGGGGGGGAGAAGGGGCGGGGCTCCGCGGGAAGGGAGGTGGGGATTGGGCGAGCGGTGTGATTGGCAGGTGGGGATGGGAAAGGATGGAGGACGGCGGCGTGGGATTGGTGGGGGAGTGGGTGCTGATTGGTTGAAGCGCAGTGGCTCTCTCAGCCCATTGGCTCCGCTCGCATCAAAGGCTGGCTGGCGAAATGAAGGAGGTCACGTGGGAGCCGGGAGCGCGCTGCGATTGGCTGGGAGGCGGGGCTTCCGCGCTGCCGCCCGTTGCCATGGCAACCCCGCGGCCTTAGCGCCTGGCTCCGGCCTACCCCGGGGCCAGGCCGCAGGCGAAGCCCCCCGAGGTGGGGGCGCCCCAAGGAGCAGCCCGGAGCCGGGCCTCGGGGCCACAGGGGCTTTGTTCGGGGGCTGGGGCCCATGGTGGCGCAGTGCATCAATCACTAATTACACAGACACTAATTACACAGCCACACGTCCCAGTTAGCAGTTAAGCACCACACAACACCACACCCCACAGTCCCCGTGTCCCCCCAGATGTCCCCGTGTCCGTGGCAGCCCGGCGCTCACTTGTGCTTGGCACGGGGGAACTCCCTGCGCCCCTTGTCGCGGCCGCCGAAGTAGCGGACGCGGTGGATGAGCTGCAGCTGCCGCTCGATGGTGGCCCTGATGTCCACCTGCTCGGGGATGTGCACGTAGCGCACGTTCCTGCCGGTGACGAAGAGCTCATCCAGGTGGGACTCGGTCCCCCGCCGGTCGGTGAAGGTGACCTGGGCCAGCCGCATGTTCATGAAGGCGTCCACGTTGGTGACGCGCCCCGTGGCCGTGCTCTCGTCACGGAGGTCCACGGTAGTGACGTGGCCGTGCAGGCCCTGCAGCAGGATGACCAGGCTGTTCTCGGCGATGGTGCGCTCCTTCACCGAGTGGCTCACCTCCATGGCGAGGCTGAGGGGCAGGGAGACGCCACGCTGCGCCCCACCGGCACCTGAGGGCTCTGAGACAGGGCGCCCACCTCACGCCCCCAGCACGGGTTCAAGTCACCCTCCTCGCCTTGCACACTCGTGCACACACAAGCCTTACATGCTACCTGCACGCTCTCCCGTGACCCACGTGCACTCCCCCCGCCCACCACCCCTTGCACACGTGGGTGCTCACCGCCTCCTCCCCTTGCACACCCACCTGCACGCCGCCCATCTCCCACCAACCACGCACCCCCCCACTTCCCACTTGAGTCCCCCTGTACCCCCCCAACTTGCACCCCATGCCCCTTTTCCCACTCACCCCCCTCCCACTTCCTTCCCCTCGAGCCCCCCCCCCCACGCCCTGTTCCCACTCCAGTTCCCCGTGTCCCCCTTCCACTTGCACCCCCCGTGCCCCCTTTCCCTTCGCACCCACCCCCTTCCCCCTCACAGCCCCGTGTCCTCCTTCCCTCTCTCCCCTTTTCCCTCTTCCCCCCGTGTCCCCTTATACCCCCCACTCCCCGTTCCCACTCGCACACCCCATTCCCCCCTTCCCCTCTCCTCCCCCCACTCACCCCCACGCCGCCCCCGGCCGCTCCCACTCCTCGTGCGCACCCCCCGGCGCTCGGTGCCTCCTCCTCCTCCTCTTCCTCCTTCCCTCCCTCCGTCCCTCCCTCGTCCCCCCCCGTGTCCCCCCCGCAGGAAGGCGCAGCCCCAGCCCCGTCCCCGCCCCGCAGCGTGGCTCGGAGGCAGGCTGGGGAGGGAGAGCGCCTTTAATGCTGGGGGCTCACAGCCCGTCCATCAGCGCCAGCAGGTCCTCGCCTTTCCCCGAGCTCGCCGGGCTCGGCTCCGCCACCTCCAGCTCGCCCGCGATGCGAGCCAGCTCCGCACGGAGCCCCGGGTCCTGCGTGGGGACACGGGTCGGGAACTGCTCGCTCGTTAGGGTTGGAGAAGCCCCCCCAACATCACCCGCTCCAACCACCCCCTACCCACTGCCCCTGTCCCCCAGCACCACCTCCAACCTCTCCCTCAACACCCCCAGGGACGGGGACTCCACCACCTCCCTGGGCAACCGTCCCAACGCCTGAGCGCTCTTGCTGAGGAGAAATGTCTCCTCATTGCCAGCCTGAACCTCCCCTGGCACAACTCGAGGCCGTTCCCTCTGCTCCTGGCACAGTTCCCTGTGAGCAGAGGCCGACCCCAGCTCCCCACCCCTTCCTTTCAGGGAGTTGCAGAGGGCAACAAAGTCTCCCCTGAGCCTCCTCCAGACTAAACAACCCCAATTAGTAAATGCACAGGGTTAGCAGAAAATACTGCCGTCACTGATTTATAAGCTTAACCAAAATAAATAATAAAAGTATTTCTATAAAGTTACTATGATGGGTAAAAGTAATTAGCAAGGAGGGAATAAGTAGAGTCAAAGACATGAAACGCACTGTACGTACCTGAGTGGCTTCTATGTTAACAACCTTGTAAGATAACTCCTCTGGTCTCGTCAGTGCTGCCTGTCTTGATTAAAAATATGAAGAGTGCTTAACCCCATGATGACATAAAAGGGATAAACAGAGTAATGAGGCTCCTGTAGATGTAAAGTTTAGACAGCGTTCCTATTTCTGCTAAGCACATTCATATACTGATCCCAGTTTTGAAACTGAGAGTGGGACTATCTCTGTAGATGGGGATAAAAGCAGACAAACACATTCTGCAGGAACCACGTAACAGAACTCTCACTACCCTTATGCTCCCTGCCAGGAAGTGGCTGCAGTGTTCGGGCCCATTAGGCTCATCACCTGCAATCAGTTCAGACACATTATTTGTCCCTTAAATGAGCATCTGGGGGAGAGGAGAGCTAAAGGTGCTGAAGGGATGTGTCTGTTCTGTGGGATGGAACCTAAGCCCAGATCGTCACCTACTGGTGACTGACTTTCTCATGAGAAGGCAGCGCAAGACCCCGCTTTACAGGAGATGCACTCGTAACAAATCCCTCTCTCCTTCCTGACAGTCTTACAAATGGCCAGACAAACTGTTCCTCTTTTGTTCCTGCAGGGACTATCTGGACCAGGATAAGAAAATAGTGAAAAGATTGGTATGCTGTCCCTGAAGCTGTCAGGGGCCAGCCTCAGTCTCCAGGACTGTCCACATGGCACTAAATCACAAACCCCAGATGAAAAACAGCTTGAGCATACTCTTCCTCCTCGTCTGTTGTGAATAAATTCAGTCGAAATCCTGTCTCGCTGCCACCAGGTTTCTTGATATCCAGACCTCCTAGCAGCCTGGCCAAAAAGTTCAGTTCTTCTTTAGCAAGAGGGTTAGGGGCCACATTCTCCTGCAGAAAACAGAAATGGGTTCAGCAGTCAGACTACCAGGAAAACTAAAAGCATTTGTGTGTTCTGGTATTACAAAAGTGTGCTTCAGAGTGTCATATATACACTAACAATACAGATTGCATAGATAAGTCATAAATATCAGTTAAATATTTAAAATGTTTCCTTGAATATACAGACCTAGGACAAGATAGCTTTCCAGCTAAATTGGATAGCTGAGAAATCAAATCGGCTTCCTGTTTTTGGAAGAAATTAAAATAGGAAGCAGCATTTCAGTACACCACTGCATAAGCCTGTGCGTAAAATTCTTTAGGAAAACATTCTCACGGCCTAGTTCAAAAGGGGCCAGGGAGAACTGCTGAGGCCTAGAGAGGAACAAGTAAACAGGTTCCCCTGAAGTTATCCTGTAAGTGTAGACTGAAAAGATAGTTATTGTTTACTTGAGAAAGGAGGCGAGCAAAAGAGAAGATAGCACAGACTGCTGCCGAGGTCACAAATTGAACCAGTGACAGAATCAGAAGGACACTAACCTTCGCATGGGATGCCAAGTTTTTGGATGATCCTGACATGTGCGTCTCTACTTGCCGACTAACACTGTACCTACAGAGAAAAACACATGAGGAAAACCTGTTACTTGTATGTGATACAGAAATAGAAGGGAGCAGCACAGGACCTCAGTTTATTTCAGAATATTTTTCCGAAGACTTTAAATTACAGAAATGAAAAGTTACAGGTCAGTTTTATGGACTATTGTAGCATTAAAACATTTAAGTGAGAAAACTGTATGAAAGAACATTACTGTTTCATTCTGAGAATGGAAAAATTATCTAAGTCAAATGTAAAGGAAAAAAAGGATTTCTCGAATGCTGTTAAATTTAAATTACATTTCACAGAATATGCATTACCAGATGAAAACACTCTTTACTCAGATCTACTGTAGACATCAATCAAACTTTTGCTCTTTTCCACAGCTCTTTTGAATACACTTATGCACACACGTTTTGTATCCGGTAATCGCTTTGTAAAGCAGTCAAGCTGATAACAGCCAAAGAGGCAGAAATAAACAAACAAGACCAAAGATGTGCTTCTGAACAAATCCATAATCATCACTGTTTACTTCATGTTTCTATGTAGGACAAAAACGACTTACATATTTGTTCCAAGTTTGAGAACTCTGTCTCCATAGAGATCAAAAGACCCTTCCCTTTGTGGAGTAATGTAATTTCCATCAGTGGTGAACTCGGTTCTTTTAACTTCATCTCCGTTGCGATTATACATCCTTAAAAACAAGCCATTATTGAAACATACTTAATACTTCTATTACTTATTTTTAGTACTGACTTCCTTTGCTTACTGTACAAGTAACACCATTCTGTATGCTGGTAAGTGCCTATTTTAGAGGATAAATGACTAACAGCTGATTTACTGGAGCAGGAAATGTCAGAAACACTTTCAGTATTTCATTGCTGGGTGACTTAAACCCAAATCTTGCTGTATAAATGACACTTACTGGAGGTTCAGCTATCCACATGAGTGACATTCTAAGCATGATGCCCATCAGACCTCTGGGACTGAGCGTTCTTTCTGAGCAGCCATACATGCAAGGCACTGCAAGCAGTATAAGCAGGGGTTCAGAATTCACCTGATGAGTCCTGGAACTTCTGTACCCCATGGAACAGGGCCTGAGATTGGCAGCACAAAGCGACCGTTAGAGTTTTGCACTTTATCCTTCAGAAAGATAGAGACCTGCAAAAGAATATCCCGTCCTCTAGAAAATCAGTTAAATATCTTCTGATCTGAGTTCTCTGAAGTCTGACCTTGCAGCCTTCCTGCTTAGATTAGGATCGGTTTCCTAGAGATTTTGATGTACATAAACACTTTGATACAGAGGATGGGCACACTGATGAAACATCAAAAAAAAAATAAAGTGCACTCTTTATGCACTTGAGTATGATCAATTTATTTACAGAACATCAAGGCCCATAGCCTCAAGCTTGAGGTTCTCAGTTTCATATCAAGCTTCTACTAAAATAAAAACCTATTTATCTACTAGCAGATATTCTGTGAAACTTGAAACTAATGAAAACCTAAATCAGGAATTACTCTATATAGTCACCTCTGAAATAAACAGGTAATCTGGGGTAATTTTTTTCCAGAATATTTTAGAATTATTGGGTGTTACTGTAGTAGACGTGCTCAGCTTGTTAAATTTTGAAGACAAGCACATCAAGATGACTAAAACGCATGAGTAACAAAACCCAACTTTTATCATGAACTTCTAACATGATACGTTCGTATTCTAACCACAGCCAACCTTCCTTCTGTGCTTACTGTCTAGTTACACTGGATTCTTACCCTTATATGCATGTCCTGAAAAAAAAGGAGGAGTGTTTGCCTGATCAGCTGAAATTCACCAGCAGACAGACCGCCGTACACCTGAAAAAGAAAAAACACAGTAAGCTTTGTAAGAGTACCATGCCCCATCAAGTTAAAGGTGGAAACAAGCCCACCAGAATACTGCTGGCCAAAGCTAGTACATGTGTGGCAGAGGAAGAAGAAATTAAATATGGAGGGCTGCTGATCAGTATCAATACTTCTTATCAGGGACTAAGAGCCTGATTTAATTTCTGCTGAAGTCAGTGGAGACTTCGATCAGGCTGAATTAGTACTGATTTAAAGGGGGCAAGGATAAAAAACTTGTGTTGTAAACATCTCCATCTCCAGAAAGTCCCTGGGAACCATTTCATGACCTCCCGGAACTTTCACCATTTTAAGGAAAGAGTTCCCTTTCACAGGGATACTCCTGTTCGTTGTACAAAGAGTTACAGCAGTTACATGAGCAAAAGCTCTCTGAGGCTAAGAACCCATCAAGCTCCACACTTGATGTGCCTCTTCCTGATGCACTATTTAGTCTCTAAGATCAGCTTGAAAGAGGAAAAAAAAAACTTCAAACAAGGCCATGTTCCACCATTTTTCTAGGGATTCTTACCTCGATCAGCTGTCGGAAAGTTTCATCCACCTGGTTCAGAATGCCAGGGGAATCACGAATGAAATCCTTGATTGCATCCAGGTGATTGAACGTGACCAGCAGAATGTCTTTGGGCCGAGGACACAGCAGGACTTGGTATTTGAAAGCCATAGTCATAAGGTCATACAGCTGCAAAACAAGAGAGAAATTTGGGTTCCATCGCAACACAAAAGGCAACATCACTTAGATAATTTCATGTGGGTTTTAGACTCTTTTTTTTTTTTTCTTTTAGCACCTGACTGCAGGTAAGGAGAACCATTTCAGCTCTGTTTCCTATGAAAATAAGACGTCTAAAAATCACATTGTCACCCTCCTGTTGGCCTCTCAGACTACTGACAATTTCAACAACACTGACACCAGGGTAGAGGTCTCACAGATAGACAAGTTCCTATAATTGTTATTATTATTTTCCAGAAAATTGACCACTGGGTATATTGCTGGAAGGTAAAAATTCTTATACTTGCAACTGCAAAACAGTGAGCATCAATACAGAAATATATATATATATATATAAACTTATAAAGAAGGCTTCCTGAACCTCTTAAACTTTTATTAAACTCAAAACCAAGTATTTCTGCTTAAGGTGATGAATTATCTGATATTACCATGGATTTCTCCAAACTTTTCTTGGCTTAGAGCCATTTTTACAAAGAAAACAAATGCAAAGAGGTCTGTTACAAAATGCTTCAGAATTAGAACAACTTGCAAAGAGCAGCATTAAAGTGCAGCAGAGTCAGGACCAGACAGATTGTCTTTTTACCTTATCCATGCTTGCCTGGTTCAGCCTCATGATTGAAGCATGAGCTAGCCGGTCATACAACGTTCTCAGAGCCTTCTTGGAGTAGAGTTCCTGTGGTTTAAACAGCTCTTCCATAAATTTTTTATTGAACATGGTTGTGATGATGTCATTCATAACTGTAAAGACAGAGAGCCTCGGTTGTTCGCTTCCCAAACACAGCACTCGGCTAATTCATTCCACTCGTGGACACTGACAGCTGTGAGGGCTCACAGAACGCTTACCTGTGAAAACCAGGTGCATAGCCACAAAAGGAAAAGCAAGGAAGATCACTTCATCATTTTGACATTTTTCTCAATGCCGTATTAGTCTCAGCAAGCAGCATGTTCCTGCTGGCTGTCCCCACAGGCAGAACTGTGTTTGAGCTGCAGACAACAAACCTTGTTTTCCAATGGGAATAACGCTGGTCTTGTTGCCTTGTTTTTGCAGCAGTGGCTAGCGCCTTCCCCTTTTAAAATAATTCTGTTTACAGGCTACTCTGGCATGTATTATTTATAAAAGTTACAGTTCTGCTTCCTAAGAAGACTGTTTTGCATCACTCTGCATTTTTTTATTTTTTATTTTATAAACAAACCATAGCTATCGGTTCTCTTTTTAGCCTTTGACACCACTTTTTCCTTCTAAACAGAAGCTCCTGACTGATTCAAAGCTCCTTGAAGTACTTGTGTGAAACGGATTAGGACTGGCAAGTATTTAAGGAAGCGTTTATAACAGTGGGATCTGTGGCAAGGCCATCCAGGGCTCTTAACACAGTAACATCTGAGGATATTAGAGCAACCCAAAGGGTCAGAACTCTCAACTTCCTTACTAGTGCTTCATTTTTAAGTGTTAATTTTAGGCAGGAATTGTTACATAACTTAACTCGAGAATATCTGGAGACCAGGAATGCTGAATATAAGGGCTACGCTCTGGTTAACAAGCTTTTAATGCAAAGAAGATAGAAAATGTCTTTGGAGTGACTCAAGCAGACACCTTTGCTTTCCTGCTGGATTTGATACTTTTATCATACACCTGATACAGAGTTATCATAAATAAACATTTTTTTCCTATTAAAAAATGTTGAAAAAATATATCAATTTCAATTCACAGGGATAATTGTACAAGCACAAATTTCCCTAAGCAGATGACTGTTACTGAAGCTTGTAATGAGAGCTAATTCTTATAGATTAGAAAAATCTCAAGGGAAGGGAAAAAAAAAAAAAAAAGAAAAGTTGATGTTCCAGTCACTTCATCCTTTCTTAGATGATTAATGTCTGGGGAATGTTGCTAGGTGTGTAATAGATGCTGAGCACTTGGACGCTGGCAGCTGTTTTCTGGAAGGCGAGTGCCTTCTGAAGCGATTCTCTCCCCTTGTTTAAAGCTGATGCTGACAGGTTTTCTCCTGCACGTGTTGTGGTGGGGTACACGTTTCAGCATCCCTTGCACTGTAACGTAACACAACTCACCTTCCTGTTTTAAGTTCTCCAACCAATACAGACGGGCCTCACCTCAGCTCAGCTTCAGAGCAGCACGGATTACAAATACACCTCACTACAAATGGAAAAAAAAAATCCCTCCTCTTCCACCCTTTTCAAATAAACTGGCCATAAGGCAATCCCTACTTGCAGTCTTAGGCAAAAATCCTCACTTTTTTCAGTTGAGTAAATCAAACACAACGTATTAGCATAAACTGCATTTTGCAAGTAATCAGTTGTGACAAAAATAAGAACCTTTGCCTGACACTGCTATCATAAAAGATATTTTTAAGTTGTCCACATGTGTTGTCTGTACAAAGGCTTCTCCTCCATCTTAGGAGAGTCTCTAATAACCAAAACTGTCAGGAGACAATACCACTGTATGCAGACAGTAGATATTCACAATGAAATCAGAAGATCTACGTTATCCACGCACCAAGCCTTACATAAAATATTGTCTGAAATTAAAACCTCCTGTATTGGCTATGAAAAGAACTGAGAAAAAAAACATTAAAAAAAAAAATCAAGGTAAAGGCCAAATCTCACAAGGTACATTTGATAATGACAGAGCAAAGATCTTAGAGCCCAGGTAGTCCCTAAGAACATACTTACACCATTCTCACAATGGAAAATAACAAAGAAAGGAGTGTTAGCTCAGGGATAATGGCACGCCAAGCAACATAGCATAAAAGCAGATTAGCAGAGAGAGGTTTCATCAACTGGGATGGGGAGAGGGAAACCAAGTGAAGACAATGCGATGACAAAAGAGAAGCTGAGGATTTACGGTGGTTTTGGCCTGCATGTGTCATGTCACCAGTGACATACACATTTCAACGCCTAGCGCTGTAACGTAACACGGCTCATATGCATGACATGAGACTTCCGTCTGGGTTGTGCTCATGCTTCTCCAAATACACTCAAGGCAGTGAAGGGAACATTACAAGTTCATAAAGTCAAAGGCAGGCAAACCTAGTCATCTGGCTTTATCAGCAGCAGCAGACTCTGGTGGTTGCTTTTTGGTAACTTTTAAGGGATCATCCTAAGAGCAGCGCTCACAAAGTTTTCTTCTCTCACAAGGAGAAGTTGACTGGTCAACACAAGATCTGTGTCTGCCTTCACCATCTGAATATGATAAAGCAGGATTTTATATAACTTATCTCCATTTAGGGTGTGATAAAAGAGAGGGGAAATGTGGAATCTTTTATGCTTCTGAGATGTTAAATGCTGGGAAAACTAATTATTGGAAACAGCACTTAATGGTAGCAAAAAAAGCAGCAAACTCCAGGGTATCAATATTTACCTTTGGTAAACATTCAAAACCTACAAATGACTTATTTTGAAAAATAGAAATCATAACCCTGATGTCTCTTAAAAAAGGGCTGCTTCAAGAGACACTGGAAGTTCTACTCATGTTCACCTAGCAGAAAAAAGTGATAGTTTAAGAGATTTATTTTCTCATCCAGCTACTTACCATACCCCCGTTCTGGAGGCTGCCATTTCAAGGCAGACCCCAGGAGGAAATCACACTCACCTTAGCTCTCCTCTGCAAAACCTCAGCTCAAACCCACCTTCAGTGATAATTTAAGTCAGGGTGAGTTTGTCTGGAGTGTGGGAACCTGCTCATTTGTGATCACTCTGCTGCAAGGGTGGCGAATCATTAGCAGGGGTGGATAAGCAGCTAGGATGGAAATGTCTGGAGTTCACCCATCAAAACCCTGAACAGTAAATTAGAAGTTATCACAGAGAAATGCAGTGTATCTAATATTCCTGCCTTTAAGCAGAAAAATAAATAAATCACAATGCTAATGTAATTATATGCTTGCATTGCTAGATGTTAGCAAAATCCAAATACCATTCTGGTTAGAAAGAGCACTATGAGAAAAAGTTATGGACTATTTATAGATATTGCCTTGATTAAATTAACAGAGAGGCTACTTTTGAAGCTACTGGATTTTGAGATACTGCCTGTTTTTCTAAGATCTATAGTTAAAGTTCTTTTTTTTTTTTTAACAGGTGAAAAATATTATTAAACTTTGACACCATCACTAGAGGGCTGCAGGAACAGCATACAGTGTGTTCACGTACAACGAGCCTCATGTGTGCATGTAGTGGTGTTTGTCTACTGCATGCAGCTAGAAGGTTACAGTACCTCGTTTCCTGTCCACATCTGTCCATTCATCTACACGAAGCATACAAAACAAAAACATCAGTTCAAGAAGTAAGAACAAGAGCTTCAAGAATAAAAGAAATAAAGAAAAAAGAGTCTAACTAATGGACTTCGATTTTTCTCACCAGCAATCAGTGCTTAACAAGAAAGAACTCTTCTGTTACTTGACATCTTTCACTTTCAATTAATACACAAAAGGTGGAACCTTGCCCTCCCCTTGGAAAAATCCCTGTTGCCTCAATGGAGCTAAAATTTTACCCTTGATTGAAACTTCGCATGTTTTGCATGTAGCTTGGATTTTTTTTTCAGCTGTTTTTTTGCACTTATAAAGGAACAATATTTCAGTGAACAGTTTTAAGCAACAACACCTCAGTGAAGACCGCACCACATCTCAGTAAAATTAAAGCCTGATTTTTTAGAAAGACAAAAATACATGCGTGGATAAACTGGTACAGATCTAATTCAACCGCTCATATATTCCACTATACATTACTAAATGTAGTTAAAGCTGTAAACAGAGAACTGCACAAACAGCAGCAAGGAAGTAAACTTGTGGCAGTTTACCAAAGACAAATATGAATAATTAAAAATTATATTGCTGTAAGGAAATGTTTAGTATTGCTTAGAAGTTCTTATTCTGGTTGCAAAGAAATCTGGTCATACTGAAACATTTCAGGAGCTGGTTTGAGAAGCTCAGATCCTGAGTTATTACGATTCCAAAAGCACGTCTGCAGCACTAACGTGCAACACAAGTGCAGAGCTATTGAAATCTGTTCCAGTTCCTGTAGCATCTGCGTGCATTTCACAAATCAGCTTCAGTCATACCTGCAAGCAGTCATTACTACAGAAACTTCATGGAAGTTGTTTAACTCAAACAGCTTTATTTTAAGAGAAGAAAACCACACAGGACCCATTCTTGTGGCAGAGCAATGAAACTTGTAAGGAAACCACTTCCCCAGGGCTTCTTTCAGTGGCAGGCACTGCGATGTTCTATTACTTTTCAAGCATCCTTCCAGTAACATCATGGCAAGTATATCTGCATTAATTCCTGTATTATTAAGAGAATCATTACCAAAAACCTAACCGCATGTCTGCACATTATTAAGGAACCACAGATCTCTTTGCTGGAGCACTGAAAGCAATGGTACTTCAGGAGAAGTCTGCAAAGCCCTGGGCAATGCCCCACCTGCAGCAGTGTGGCTCCTTGCTGATTACCTCCAGCACCCGGCCTCTTCTGAAGTGTGTCCAGAGCAGGGCTGTGATGCTGGTGAAGGGCCTGGAGCACAAGTCCTGTGAGGAGCGGCTGAGGGAACTGGGGGTGTTTGGGCTGGGGAAGGGGGGCTCAGGGCAGAGCTCATTGCTCTCTGCAACTGCCTGGAAGGAAGGGGTGGGGAGCTGGGGTCGGCCTCTGCTCACAGGGAACTGTGCCAGGAGCAGAGGGAACGGCCTCGAGTTGTGCCAGGGGAGGTTCAGGCTGGCAATGAGGAGACATTTCTCCTCAGCAAGAGCGCTCAGGCGTTGGGACGGGTTGCCCAGGGAGGTGGGGGAGTCCCCGTCCCTGGGGGTGTTCAGGGAGAGGTTGGACGTGGTGCTTGGGGACAGGGGCAGGGGGTGACATTGGCAGTAAGGTGATGGTTGGGTCAGATGATTTGGGAGCACTTTTTCGACCCTAGGATCCTTGGGGATCCCCTCACACACCGCCCCTCACAGCCCCATCCTCACAAAGCCGGGCACGGGAGGGCCCAGTCAGGGTCTCCGCGGTGCCGAAGCCCCGATCCCAGCCCCGGCTCACCTTTGCGGGCTTTCTCTCCGGGGATGCTCTGGGCACGGAGCCGCTGGTCCAGGATGTAGAGCATCTCGCCGCCCAGGTTGAGGAACAGCAGCGGCAGCGCCCGGCCCGACATGGCGCCCGCCCCCCCCACAGCCGCCGCCGCCGCCGCCAGGCAACGGCCGGGCCAATGGCGAGGCGCCGTGTTGGCATGTCCCCCCCGCCACAGCGCGATACCACGGCTTAAAAACTAATTAAATTGTAATAACTGGTTAATTGGAGGCATTTCCTCGCCAAATTTAAGCCTTTGTGACAGGATTAAAAACCATCTTGCCTCGGTTCACCACGCAGGCATCCCCGGCACGCGTCCACGCGACAGCTGAGGGGAGCTCTCTGTTCTTCTATTGAACTCTGCCAGCGGGCGCCACTTTACTCATAATTATTTAGTTTAATAACCATCAATGGCGTTTTTGATATAACATCACTGAGTTTCTGAGTGATACTGAGGGATGGCTACCACAGAACGAACGCAAATACCCGAGTCAGCTGGGAAATGCCAGACTTGATTGTCAGTACGGTTTCTACAGCTGTAGAGTTCAGAGTCAACCTGCATTTGATTGTGAGGAGGAATGGGTTTTTGAGTCGGTGTCAGGGCTGCTTTATTTCCAAATAAGCCACATTTCTCCTCATTCTCTCCTCTCATTTCCATTACATGTAGTGAATCCCCTGCTGAATTCTGCTGAGCAGCTGCTCCAATGCTGTTTGACAGCGCAATTCTGCAGGCTCACTGGGTAATGAGAGGAGACAGACACTACTCAAAGGTGCTTTCACTTGAAGACATCACTGCCTTTCCCTGCCAAAGGCATGCTGACAAAGCCCCCAGCGCTCCTCTCAGCACAGCACAGGCTGCTCAGGACACGGTCCAAGGAAGCAGTCTTAAACTTCTAAAACACTTAAATCGCTTACTGCACTTTTTTGGGTACTCACACGGCGCAGATCACGCATGCACTTAAGCAAAGTCGACAAGCCTTTTGGTAGTTGTTTATTTTTGGAGAGACTGGCTGTATCACTAACCCAATGTGCGGCTACACAGCCGTCCCTTCGCTCTGCGCCTGCTTCTCTTTTGCAGCCCTGGCTTTTGCTTGCCACTCTCTCCTCTTCTTTAGCCTTTCTGGTGCTTTCAGCTTCCGTGCCTCCTGAAAAACCTGCAGGAGGAGCATAAGCAGGTGAGAGAAGGGGAAAGACAAAGCTGTCTGCTGCTGATTACAACCATTCTGCCGCTGCTGCTCATTGCGACACACAGCATGGATCTGATGAGCTCCTGCAGCGGAGGCCAGAAGGCACGCAATGTATTTCAGTGAGATCAGCTCCTTGCCCTTTCTTCCTCCAGGACTCCAAGCAGCCTATGTTCTAGGGTACCACTCTCTGATATTCAGTTATAGCTATCCAGTCTTTTACTTATAATTTAATTGGATTGAGATTTAATATTTATAGACTGAGCATTGTCTAGCTTTGATTCTGGTCAGTTATTGCAATACATTTAGAGCAAATGAGAGGAGCCAGTGGCCATACCCACATTTCTGTTCTAAAATTGCCATCAAACTTAATAGTCTTACACATTAGGTCCCCACACCAGGCTTGGAAGAAAAGCTGTTTAGAATCATGCGTTTCTGAGCAAACTAGCAGCTCAACCTGAAGTTCTTAACCACAGTACACCCTCAGTCAGTACACGCTTCACTGCCCACGGCCTAAGTGCCTTTTGTGTTTTTTTTTTTTTTTGTCAAGCTTGTTTTGTTCTACTGTTATCATCATCTCCTCAAATTCAAAACACAGATTTAAAGGACTCTTATGTATCAGCCCTTTCTGTTTTAATTGTGCCCTCTATGAAGAGATTTTTCCTACTCCAGTTACATAGCTTTTGCTCTGGTTTGCTCCATACCTTGATACAAAATGCCTTCTTTACAACCCAGCGCTTGGTGACCCGTCGGGAGTATGCAGGGGGTAGTGCATACTGGATATTCAGCTGCTTGCAGGTGTTTTCAAAGGCATCGTAGCGGACACGGCGAAGATATGCAAGTAGTTTCTTCCGGCGATCCATGGCCATCAGCATGAGACGACGGTTACTTTTATCCTGTAAAGGACTTAATGTTCACTAGATTGCAAAAGATTGTACTTCCATTCCAATAAATTACTTAGACCAAATTATGGCTAAAAGGAAACAATCAGGTTAAGGACAGTATCTTAGAACAATTTTTCTCAGCAGATACCACAAGAACATTAGATCACTAAAAGAAGATCTGTGAAGACTTAATTTACTTTGCACTGAAATTGCTTTTTCCAAGCTGCAAAGACTTGGAGGCAAAGACTGTGGGAGAAGTCTACCAGCTAAAAACTCTGCTTCCCCTCTGAAACGTATGCTTCCGTGTTATTTCTGGAACTATTTATTTTTGCTTTTCCAGAATTTAAACGTAAAGATAAAATCTGACTTGGCTCCATTTCACAGTTTGAATTGTTCTTTGGAAGAGAATATGCATAGCTTGATCCATGTCGTCCAGGGCAATCTCATGGAAGAAATCACTCTACCCTTTACAAGCAATTTGTCTAAAACCAGGCTTGAGCCAAGTAATTTCAAAAGGTCTTTTCTGCTGTACATTTGGCACAATTTCTGTGTTCTTTAAACTGAATTCTGTTCTGTTTTACTCTTCGAACTTTTATGATTAGCTAATACTTATGAACTTTTTTCAAATACAGTTGATTAATCCACTTCCCACCTTTTCCACTACATTCTGAATCTTCAGTAGATCTTTTTCAGAAACATACAGTTGTTATGTTTTCAGTTTGGACTTGAACCCAAGCAGCTTTAGGTAGGGAAATGGTCATTATGACATTAAAAATATTTAGTGGACAGGACTGTGCTAAAGGCAGAACAGATGGAGAATACAGCTGAAGTGATCACACTAGTTATGTTGAACACTAAGCAATGGAACTGTATCTGCAGCAAAACCAAATTTAGCTAAACTCCATTGAAATGTATCTGCTCAGGCATTCCCAACAATCCAGTAACAAAAATAAAACACATTCCACATTTCAGTGGGTGAGAACATAGCTGTGACTGAGCCAGCAGTTTCCCAGACTGACAACAAGGAACAGTTACTGCTATTTTATAAACCATCTTAGCAAAGCCCTAATCCCCAGAATCAAAATCCCTTTGTTCTCAACTCGGAAAACAACCTGAACAGCTGTTGTCTCGCATGCATGGGCTCAGATCACAGACAGTTACCTTGGGATGTCTCTGAAGATGCTCCTCGTAAGTGCGTATCTTGGCAGTCAATATAGCAGCTATAAAGGACAGACATAAGAAGCCATGAGAGAGCAGAAGCTTTCCAGGGTGAAATGGCATCATTTACGTTTCCTTCAAATTGCCAGTTGCACACTGCTGTTCTTATGCGTACCCACTGCACCACAGCAAATACTATTGCACAGTAAATGGTAAACAAAACACAAAATATAACCTATATTAACCCAAGCAAGAACTATTACTATTATCAAGCTGCCTGATTAGAAGTTAATATTTTAACAGCTGATCACATGAATTTATTTGTAAGGCCTCTTGCTTTGCTGAATTACTGGTGAATTTACATTCATTTCATCTCCCTTGGTTTAAGCCTTGGAGGAACAGACACAGTTTAAGAGCTTTTCCTAACACCTGCATCCAGCTTTCAAGGTTTTCGATTTTGGAAATGGTGCTGGTGGCAGCCTGAGAAACTGAAGGCCTTTATTAATGATAGCACAGAACATTCTGGTCAATGGCAGTACAGCCTTCATCTCTGCACTATCCCTACACTGTGCTTCAGGCAGAACTTGCCTATGCACAAGGATATTTGGCTTCCAAGGCTGAATCTAGCATTTCTTTCTGGTAATGGATGCTGTGCAATGGTTCATGTCATGTAAGCATTTCAAGCAGAATAATGCACATGCGGCCTTTAGAGGGTGGATATCAAGTAGTGATTTGGAAACTATCCTTGCAGACACTTGTAATAAATATAACTGGAACAGAGCCAATTGTGCCCCCACAATTCGAGTATTTCACATTTCTTTCACCAAAAGTGAGCTGAGCCTTCCTCAGCAAATCTCTTGTAAGCACCCCAGCCTGTACCGCAGGCTACCTGCCTCTCAGGTGCTCTCCTAAAGAGATTTTCCTAGCTGATACAGGAAACTTGAAGTGATAGGGTGGGAATAGCTGAATAAAAGCAAAGTGAACTATCATCTGCCAACAATATCCTTCTGCTTCTTTTAACTTACTTTGCACCTCAAAGGAGCCATTGTCATCAGGAGACCTCCTGACCTTCTCCACCAGCTGCTGTGTCTTTATCTTCATTTTCTCCTTCTGTGGACAACAAAAGAACTTGTGACTTTCTGAGGAACACTGCAGGTCTGAGACACTCCACATCTCTTCCCAAATTCCCAGATAAAGGCTTTGTAGCTTTACTTGATGTCCATCGCAAAAGGTGTAAGTGCTGCAAAAAAGGGACGTACTGCACGTAGGACAGTGCTCAGAGTACACCAAGGAAGGAGCACAAAAGATCTCAACAACAGTGATTCTGTTTTCTGCTAAGAGTCCAGGCACATCCTTCTTCCCAAAATTACAAAAGAAGGCTGGTGAAGAGGTCCTGACACCCTCATGAGCAGCAGCAACAGAACCAAAGCTGGTCTCACATGGTAGCTGCCTTCACTTTTTGCATCTTTTTAAGCTTAGGTGGTAGGCATCAAGAAACAGTAAGATCTTTGTGATGCTGTTCTGCTTTGCTTACTTGTTTTCTGGGCATACAAAAAATAAAAGTCATTTGAAGAACACCTGCTGCCCAGCGTACTACTTCTGTAATACAGCCCAACCGCCAGCAATAACGCAACACAGCTGCATCTCCTCCTGTGCTCACGGAATACTTTATTACCCAATTTTAATATGCAATTATTATCATAAAGACAACTCCATAATAAATTTTAAGAGCATGCAAGACTTATCATCCTCGTGTATTTAATAGCCCCAGATCTGCATCCACCAAGCAACATTTAAAACAAAAGTAAATGTAGGGCATTTAATAATACAGGTAAGTTACACCAACGTGTTTGACAAACCATCTAGTTTTTATGCATGTAAAATGACACTAACCTGGCTTGCCATTTCCAGTGACAATAATCTTTTCACTACGTCATCAACGCTGTAAGGAGATTGCAGATTGGTTTATAAGCTTAGAAACCAGGTATATTTAACAACAGGAATGAAGCTAGCTTTTCAGAACACATTAACTTCCCTCAAATTTATTCTGCAGGTTTACAGTGACTCTCCCCCCCTCCTAAACCTGTCAGCCACGAGCTATTTCTGTATTCCAAAGAAAAATAATGGCTGAAAATCACGGAAGCATCAAGCTTCTGTAGGAAGCACTGTATGAATTATTTCAAATCACGCTGAAGTTCCAAAAACAACAATGCCTGCAAACTGCGTGTTAAAGGTTAACCACCAGGTAAGTAGCCAAGGACAAAATAATTACTAAGACCTGCTCCTTCAAAGACTTGTGAAAGTCTCAGTTACACCACTGGGGGCTCTCCATGCACCACACATGAAGAGTTCTGGAATCAAAGCATAAAAATGCAGAACTCCAGGCCCAAATATCAGAAGTAGCCTCTCATTTTGAGTTGTTTAATTGTAGACTCTTTAACACCTGTTTTCAAGACAGGCATAGATTACTTCTAAGAAGGTTATTTTTATCATGTCCAGATCATTTCTTTTTCTACGGATGTAGACAAAGTCCACAAAAGATGTGGACAAACAGCACTTCTGAGAAACATGCTCAGTGTATCTTACAATAATTAAACAGAATCCTAACACAGTCACAAACAGTGGTGGCTTGCAATTTTGTTATTTTTTTTTTTAATTGCGTAGCTGTGACCACAGAACATTCATTATTGAGCAGCTGTCATGTTCCACAGATGGTGGTTATACGAATCTAAGCTACAAAGCTCTCAAGAGATTAGCCGTGCCTTTTTGCTGTATCATACCTATTTATTATCGGGACATTGGCATACTCTTTCTTCATCATTGTTGGAGGAAGATCATCCAAATGGCTGGGGATGTCTACAAGGGAAAGATACAGCAGTAAGCCTGGCTCCCTCACCTTTGTAATCACCCCTGAAGCTGCAGAGATGCAAATTCCTGCAGCAGGGATTACGTTTCCCTCTCTTCTCACAAGCAGTGTACATCTGCATCTTTAAAGTGAAAAAGATGCAAATTTCCCCAAATACCCCCCTTCCTGCTGCATTAGAGTACAACTCCGATAGCATCAACAGTAAAATTTTGCCACTTTCTCCCACCAATCCTGACATACCTCTTATCTTTCTTCTCACAGGTCTGGCGTAACATCTTGCTGGCTGAATAAAGGCACTGCAAACTTGATGAAAAAAAAAAACAACAAAGATCTATTAGATTGTTTGCACTTTTCTACCTATATACTCATTAAACACTGCCCAGTCTGTACTAGAAAACTGGTCAGAGTACGTAGACTCCAAGATGATTTGTAACCAACTTAGGTCTTTTGTCCCACAGGCAGCATGGAACAGTTTCAGTGCGGTCCTCACACTGGAGCTAAAACAAACAGGTGAAGCCAACTCAAATGAAAAAAAGAACAGGGCTAGCAGGAAGAGATCACAAGTGCTTGGCCTGCTGCTAAACATAACGGAAGGTTCTCCAGCTGAACTGTGTTCATTTAAAGGATTTAAATTGATTATTTAATGCCAATAATTTCACGTGCAAGTTAAATGGGCTGCTCTGAACTATGCCAGTGGCAGAGAGACGCAGCAAAAACCTTTGACCGGCACACCTTGGTACAGACAAGGATATTCATCAGTATCCTGAGTTCCAAGACTAGAAAGAACTCTTACAACTGCCCTTTCTAGGCTTTGATATTGGTACCAACACCTGCTTGAGATTATTCAAGCATTCTTTCAAGTACAGAATTTGCCAGTGCTGCCTACAAACGGAGTTTGCTGAGCAGCAAGCTAGCGAAACTCCGCAGCTGGGAGGCACCAGACCTGAGCCCTGGCTCGCAGGACACGTGCTCAGCGCAGGGCAGATCTCTCCATGGCTCAGTCAGCCCTCTCATGTGGCCTGTGCCACAGCAGCATGCACAGAAACAGCGCTGGGGCTGTGACCTGCGCCTTAGATCAGCTCAGGGCTGGTTTTGGGCACGCAGCAGCCACACAGGCCCTTGGTGTTGGGGCTTGGACCCTTGGTGTCAGGGCCACCTCAGCTACTTCAGCACAGCCCCGAGGTGCTCAGGGCAGCCCCACAGGCTGTCCCCAGCCCTCAGCCCCCTGCCCACCTCCCCTTTGAGCCCCAAAACCCCTCGCCCACCCCAGCCCCAGCACACAGGGGGCCACCCAGCCCCACTCACCCCACAGCCAGCCCCACTCACCCCAGCCCCACACCGCCCACCCCCGTCCCCCTCAGGCCTTGCGGCCCCCCCCGGGCCCTCCCCACCTCCCCCGCAGCACCCCCAGCCCCTGTCCCCTCCCCAGGACCACCCAGCCCCGTGACCCCTGGGGGCCACCCCTACCACCTTGGGGCCACGTTTCCCACTTTATGGCCACCTCTGTCCCTTGAGGCCCACCTCAGCCCCGCGGGGGCTCCCCCATCCCCGTCAGGACCCCCCCTCAGGCTGCTGCCCGCCCCGAGCCCCCCTCACCTTTCCACCCTCCCCTCCGCTCCCTCCCCTTCTCCCCCTCTCCCGGCTCCCTCCCCGGGCCGCCCCGCACCCCCACGACCCCTCACCGGCCGCTGCCCTTCGATGGCCGCCCCCCAAGACGGCGGAGGCCGCCCCCGCCAGGCCGCGGCCCAGCGCCGCCATCGCCCCCATCTCCTCAGGGCCCCGCCGCCCTGGGCGCCGCCATCTTGCCCAGGCGCCGCCGCCGCCCAGCGATCGCCGAGCGCATCGATGTGTCCCCCAAAAAATCCCCCAAAATGAGCGCCCACCCCGGGCTGATCCCTGTTTATTTTTATTTTTGTTGTTATTTTGTTTTCTTTGGGGTTGTTGTTATCAGGGGAGGCGGGGACGCAGCACTGGGAGGCCCCCGGTTAGGGCTGCTCTGCAGGGAGGGGTTGCCCGCGCCTCACAGCCAGGCTGTGGGGTCGTGGGGGGGACAGGGGTAGAGGGGGAAAATAAAGGGGACAGGAGGGTGAAGGGGGTGGGGAAGCAAAAGGGACAGGCCCACGGTCCCCACAGAGCACCCCTGGGGGCTGCAGGGCCTTGGGGGGCAGCAGGAGGGAGGCTCCATGCCCAGCTTGGGGGGCATGGGGGACAGGAGCAGAGGGCAAAGGGGATGGGAGAGCAAAAGGGATGGGAGAAAAAAGGGATGGGAAAGCAAAAGAGGATGGGAAAGCAAAAGGGACAAGCCCAGGGTCCCCACAGAGCACCCCGGGGGCTGCAGGCTCTTAGGGTCAACAGAAGGGAGGCTCCATGCCCAGCTTGGGGGGCACAGGGGGGCGGATCATGGAGTGGAGTTTGGTCCGGGGTCTTTGGTCCCATAACGGGATGGCGCCATTAACACCGCTGGAAGTCGTGGAGCTCCTCGGCCCCGCTGATCTGCAGGCCCTGCAGCAGGGGGAAGTCGATGAGGGGCTCCTCCAAGAAGCCCCCGGCCCCCTGGCAGCCGTGGCTGGGGGCGGCCCCATGGAACCACAGGTTCTCGTAGGGTTTGGGGCTGGGGCTGCGGTCGAAAAGCAGGGGCTGCGTGGAGCTGGAGCGGAGGTAGAGGCGACACGGGACGTGCTGCTGGCCCTTGTAGCCATCCCCTGCCACCTGCGCGTACTGCACGGTCTCACCGCTCCCGTAGGAGCCAGTGCCCAGCTCCATGGCCCTGCCGGGGCCGTCCTGCTGCACATAGGGCTGGGGTACCCCGGGGAAGGCGACGGCGGTCTCTGCGGGGGAATCCTTGCCCCAAACGGGTGCCTGCTTCCCTGCTGCTCTTTCCAGCACCGTGACGGTAGAAATGGTCGCCAGGGCGGGCTCCTTCGCACTGGGCACTTGCGGAGGCTCCTGGAGGAACAGCGTGTTGATGGCACGGCCGTGTTTGTAGGGTCCCCTTTTGTGTGTCCCCCTCCCAGCACCGTGCAGGGGAGGCCCCAGAGGTCTCACCTGCTGCAGCTCTGCCGGCACCCACTTCCCCAGGCTGCTGTTGGCCGGGTCGGGGACGCTGGGCCAGAACTGCTGCTTCACCCTGGGGGTGACACAACGAGGGGGTCAGCACGGTGCCCAGGAGCTGGCTACTGTGGGGCTGGAGCCGTTCCCTCCCTGCCTTCAGCCCCTCGGGGGACAAGGGCAGCTCCAGCCCCATGCAGAGCCCGGTCCTGACCCCGCAGCGGGGCTCTTGGCGCTCACCTCCCATTCTTCTGGAAGCAAATCATCAGGGCTGTGAGCAGGACGAAGATCAGCCCCAGGGTCAGGAAGAGGATCTGGATCTCGATGTCATCTGGAAAGCAGGGGACGGGGTCACGGCAAGAAGTGCCCCTTGCAGACTGGTGGGGAGATTTTGGGGCAGGACCTGGCTCCGGTGGGTCCCCTCACACCCCTCCAGCATCCCCAAAACCCCACACGTCCATGCTCACCCAGCACCATGGTCACCAGGGTGAGGCTGGTGCCGTTGGTGCTGCCGCCGACCGTGGAGGCCATGATGTGCACTTTGTAGAGGGTCGATGGCTTCAGGTCCCTGATGATGAAGGAATTGAAGGAGGAATTCACAACGGCACCTGCGGAGGCAATGGGGGCTGCTGGAAGGGCTGGGCCATGCCCTGCACAGCCTGACCGAGGGCTGCCCGGCAGAGTGGATGGGCACAATCATAAAATTAGGGGAGGGTTTGGGTTGGAAGGGACCTTAAAGCCCACCCAGTTCCAACCCCAATGCCATGGACAGCCAAGGAGGGGCAGGGTGTGGGGCCGGGACTCACTGGCCACCTCGGCGGTGCTGTTGGCCCAGAAGATGGTGTAGTTGGTGATGAAGCCATTCTGCAGCTCAACGGCCACCGGGTCCCAGCAGAGCTCCGCGTGGGCCTTGCTGATGCTCTTCAGGTGCAGCTTCGGGGCGTGGGATGGTGCTGGAAGGGAGCGGGACAAGTGGCTGAGCACGGCGCTGAGCTGCTGCCTCTGTGCCCCGGGGGGCTCTGTGCAGCCACGGCAAGCCAAATCCCAGCCTGGTGGGCTGAGATCTTCTGCACAGCCCCTAAATTTGGGAACCAAGGTGGGCCCTGAGGGGAGATGCTGGCAGCACACGCACCCTTCTGCCTGGAGTAGGCTGCTGTGTGGGTGGGCGTCCCGACGGCATCCTTGTAGAGGGGGCACACCGAGATGTTGTAGCGCTGGAAGGGCTCGATGCCATCTGCAACGGAGAGCAGAGGGGGGCTGCGGGCTGGGGGTCCTGCCTGCTGAGCCCCCCCGGTTGTGCCAGCCCCCAGGGAGCCGATGGAGAGCAGGGAGGGAGTATGTGGTGTGGACTCAGGGCAGGATTTGCTGCTGGGAACCCCCGGCTATGGGCACAGGAGAGACCCTGGGGCACAAAACCCTGCAGAGCTGGTTGGGACCCCCCTGAAACCTCCCCGAAACCCCCTGCTTACCCTGGATGAGGGCAGAGGTGGCGGCCCCATCGCGCTCCATCTGCCAGCAGGCGCTGCAGTGGCTGGGCTCCGAGGCCACCCGCTGCCACTCCAGCACGTAGGCGGCCACCGGGGCCCGGGGTGCCTCCCAGTGCACCCAGAGGCTTCGTTCACCTGCGGGTACGGCCCGGAGCCCAGCCAGGGGCTGACCTGCGTGGGGACAGCCATGGGGCTGAGGGCAGAGGGGAGCAGCCCAGCCCTGCTCCCTGCAGCTGAGAGCCCCCCGTGCCCCTGCACGCTGCCAGGGAGCCTCGTGGGGATCCCCTTTGGGAGCCCCGCGGGTGCTCACCCTCCCTGGGGCTTGCAGCCACGTTAAAAACGCCACCCAAACCCCTACGAGGGGGGAAGCTTTCAGCCCACGAGAGGTGCTCTTTCAGACCCTCACCTTTCCTCTCCAGGAGCACGACCTCGGTTGCTGCCGACTCGCCGGCGGCGTTGTAGGCTGAGAGGTAAACCCTCCTGGTCCCCGCCGGGGCGGTGAAGTCGCAGTGGGTGTCAGAGGTGTTGCAGACAGTCGGGGGCTCCCTGCCTCTCCTCCGGGGTCCCAGAGCCACGCGGTACCCCAGCAAACGCCCGTTTGCCTCCCGTTGCCTCGGGGCCTGGGCGCAGATGGGGCTTACACGGGATGGTGCTAGGTCCCGAAGGCAATGCCCTGTGCTCCCCACGGGGCTTACAGGGGGTGCTCGGCCCCGAAGGCAACACCCCATGCTCCCCACACGCGCTCACCTTCCACTGCAGCTGCACCTCCAGCCTCCTGCCCGCCGGGTCCGGCCGCGTGCTCCACCATGCGTCCAGCTTCCCCGTGGGGGCTGCAGCGGGACAGGGGTGAGCGTGGCGGTGTCCTTGCAGCCACGCTGCTCAGGGGGTGTGCAGGGTCCCCCCCCAGACCTCTCTGTGCCCACCTTTCTCATGGGTGGTGTGGTTCCTGGCCGCGCTCCACTCGCTCCAGTGGCCATGTGCTGAGTGCCGCCGGCAGCGCATCTGGAAGAGGTACTGGGTCCCGAAAAGCAGCCCGCAGCACTGCGCCGTGCCGGCCTGGCCGACGATGCCAGTGACCTGGGGGCAGCCAGAGCGGGGTCAGCTCCTGCCTCCAAACCCCACAGCTGTGGGGTACGGCCCCGGGAGCTGTGTACTGGTGTGGGGATGAGGGGCACCCTGCGGTCCTCTTCCGTGGTCACTGCACGCGTCCCATCATCATCTTCCCCTTCCAAGGAGGGGAAAAGAGGGAGCTGCTCTGGTTGGGATCAGGACCAGGCTCAGGGGCTGACCCCATAAGCACTGTCCTGGGGTTTTGAAGGCAGGGAGCCACTACGACGGCACCGCAGGCAAAATGCTGCTGCTGCATCCCTCCTGGGAGGGACGTGGGGGCTGCAACCTGCCCCTGGATGTGCCCAAGGGTGCAGAAAGCAGGGCACAAAACCTGGCTGAGCTCAGAGCAGGGGGGGATGCCCTGGTTCCTGCAGTCCCCAGGGCCCCGCTGCCCCCAGTAGCACTCACCAGCACCCAGTTGGGGTCCTCGGGGGGCCGGTAGCGCAGCTCACACCACAGCTCCATGTGCGCGCTGCTCGGTGCCACCGCCCAGGCCAGGGTGACGCAGTCGGTCTGGGGGGGCACGGACTGGATGCTCCGCAGGGCCGGGGGCTCCAGCTGGGCTGCAGGGAGAGATGGGGGGAGCTGAGGGCATCCGAGGGGCTGTGCTGGGGCCGCATCCTGGTATGGGGCTGTTATCAATGCCTCGAACCCCAGCGGGGCTGGGTGCTGAGCTCGGGGTTGGGGGGCACGGGAGGAGCCTCCCCAAAATGTTTTGGGCAAGACTTTGCGAGAAGGGGCAGGAGCTGGAGAGCAATGAGGTGCAAGCAACCTGCAGCGCACGGGGAGAGCCTGGGGAAATTCATCTTTTTCTTTAGGAACCAAAAGATTTGCAGCTGGCCCCGCGGTGGGCAGGGGCTGCCCCGTTTCCACCGGCTGTGCCCACCCCACACTGGGACATGGGGATGATGCTCAGGAGCACGGGGCCAGAGCTGGTTTACACCACGGGCTGGGCTAACTCCTACGGGGGAAAGAAGCACCCTGAGGGGTGCAGGATCGGTGCACAGCCCAGGAAGGCAGCAGGTCTGTGTCCCTATGGGGGCGAGGACCCGCTCCGAGTGGGGCGGCTGGGCTGGTTGGCTGGCAGCCCGCCCCCAGCAGGACGCCTCGCGGTGTCTGGGAAGGTTCCCGTTATAAATAGTTGATGGGAGCCGGATGCATTATTAACGGAGCTCCTGAATAAATGGGGAATCAATTGCTGGAGAGAGTTGTAGAGTGCAGCGGGTCAACCGACGGCTCGTAACCCGCCGGCGCGCGCCGCACAGCTCTGAAACGCGGCGCTGGCACCTATTCATCTCAGCAAGCCATTTATCACGGCAACCTGCCTGTAAAATACGACCCGGGAGCCTGACACGCTCTAACGGCGCTCTAATATCCCTCCCTCACCGATAATTAGTCTCCCTGGGCCCTCGTTTGTGCGCGGGGAGGCCGGCGGCGGCCGTCACTCACCGACGTCCATGGGGTCGAGGCGGAGGCGCTCGGATTCGGCCGTGCCCAGCGCGTTGGAGGCGGCCACCCAGATCTCCATCTGCCCGTACAGCTGCAGCAGGCGCCGCGGCACCGTGCAGTGGCTGCGGCCACCTTGAGGGGTGCAGCCCGTCACCGCCGGGGCTCTGCTCCTGCAGGGGGGAGACGGGGTGGGCTCAGGGGGCAGAGGATGGGCTGGGTTGGTGGGGAGAGGGCTGGGATACGCAGCCGAAGGGAAGGAATGGGGATGGTGTCCCCCGGCAGGGCTTACGTGGAGCATTTGAGCACCACGCTGGTGGGGAGGTGGCTGTCGGCTCCCGGCTGCCAGCGGCACGTCAGCCCGTAGTCACTGAGGTTGAGCAGGCAGCTGAGGTTGGAGGGCTTGGCAGGGGGGTCTAGGAGAGAGCAGCCAGGAGAGGAGCTGGGCAAAACGCCCCAGTTTTGGGCCTGGAGAAGCCACAGCCACCTTGTGGGGAGCACACAGGGATGGCGGTGCCTCAGGGGGAGATGTGTGCGTGGTGGACTTACAGCCCGCCCGGATCTCAGCCAGGCCAACCCGCTGCTTGGTCCCGTTCCACTCCACCCAGCACCACAGCTTGGCCTGCGTGCGGTTGAACTGGGGCAGGGTCAGGTTGGACACCTCGGTGTCCCCCGCGCCAGCGGCCCTGGCTCCCAGCCACTGTCTCGTTGTCCAGCATCCAGGAGATCCGTGCCCGCCCGCCCTGCAGCCCGCGGCACAGCCTGCTGCGCACGCTGCACTGACGCCGTGACGGCCGAGCCCAGCGGCACCACGGGCGAGCCCACCTCCACCGAGGCACAGCCGAGGGTCCCTGCAGGAAGGGAGAGTGGGTACGGCTGTGACAAAGCCATCTCAGCCCCCCTGGCACCAAGGCAGGGCAGGAGCAGGGCTCCTTTCCTGAGAGGGGCCCCGCAGCCGCCGGAGGGGAAGAGCTGGGCGTTGGGCAAGCCTTTCACAGCCGTGCCGGGCCCCATCCTGCCGGTGCTCCTGTCCCCAGCACACTCCCAGCTGGTGGGATGGGCGCTGGGTGCCTTGGGGACTTTGGGGGCACGGGGCCGGGTCCCCACTCACCGCCCAGGCGGAGGAGCAGGAGCAGGGAGAGCCGCAGCAGCAGCAAGGGCGTCCCCACACCGCGCCTGGCCATGGTCTGCTCCGTGGCTTTGGCATCACCTGGAACGGAGACGCAGCGAGTTGGGAAGGGGCTCGGAGGGATAGAGGAGCCCGTGACGGCCAGGGATTGTTCCTGGAGGACAACATCCCCTTGGCATCACCTGCAGCTGCCCCTCTGCAGCACGGACAGGTCTGTCCCCGGGCTGTAGGAGTCCTTTTGGGTCTCCCCACCAGCAGACCCCGCTCACCAGGTCTTGGCGCCGGCTCTCCGGGGCACAAACGCCCTGTGCTTTGCTGCACCACGGGCTGAGCTTGTACCGGGTGTCTTCAGCCCCTGCTGGGGAGAGATTTGTGGTTTGAGCAGGGGTTAGAGCCGGGGTTTCAGGCAGCAGAGATAAGCTCAGACAGGGAAACGAATGAATGAAGGCGACGCAGCAGGGCTGGCCGAGCCTGCAGGGCCTCGGGGTGCTGCCTGCACCCTCTCCCTGCACTTCTTGCGCTGCATCCCATGGCTGTGCTGGGAGGGGTCCCACTGCCAGCTCTCCCCAGTGCCCTGTCCCAGCCTCATCCCCCTGGCGCTGGGCACCTGCCCCATCCCAGCACCCGGCTCCGAGTGCTCTCAGCTCCTCTCCCCTCACTCCGATGTCCTGCGTGGGCGGAAGGAAAGCAGCCAGCCCGGGGCACCACAACCCCCTGGCACACGTGGCTGTGCCAAACAGGGGCCGGCAGAGCCACCCGTGGCCGAGGGGACCCCAGCTCCCCGTGCCCCATCCCTACCTCTCCGTTCGGCTGCCGTCACCGCCCGCTCCCAGCGCCGGCCTCCAGCTCCCTGCGCTCAGCCCGTTTGCCAACATGCTGCTTTCCCCGTTAGTTCCTCAAAACCAGCGCCGTTAATTGCTGCGACTCTCTGAAGAAGGTGATTGCAAAACACTTCCCTGAAGGCTGGGCTGCCTCGCTCGCTGCAGGAAGGAAAGAGCCCGGCGGCACGCACGCATCCAGCACCGGGGAGCAGCACCCGGCCTCCCCGCCCTCCCCGCTCCAGCACCACCATCTCCAAACTGGGGCTGCGGAGAGGGACACGGCGTGGGGGAACAGATGGGGACACTGGTTTTGGGGTGCTGGAGCGGGGTTTTCCAGCTGCACCTCGCCCTGGGTGGCACCCGGCTGCCGGGTGGCTCTGCGGGCAGTGCCACCAGCGGCAGGGAGCCATCGGCTCCCCGGCGAAACCCGCGTCCCGTGGGGTAAACAGGGGATTGCCCAACCCGCCACGCACCACGGCCTTCGCAACGGCAGGCTGTGGCTGTTGTGCAAACGGGTGTTTACTACGGGATTCGGAGCACGCGTTTTGCCGTCAGCGCCGCCCCGCTCGGCGCTCACGCAACCCCTGCTGCAAACAGCCCGACCGTGGGGCCTGAGGCTGCTGACCGTGGGGCCGTGGGATCGTGACCCCCTTCCCCACCCCACGCTGATATTCCCCAAAATGCAGAGGGACAGGGGTGGGGGGCGCACCCACAGCACCTCCCTTGGAGCTGGGATGGAGCTCTCCAGGCTGTGGCTGTCGCATCTTGCAGACCCCCGACCCCAGCATGGGGCTGTTCCCTGAATCCCCCCTCCCAGCTCCCAGCACTCAGTCTCCAGCCCCTCGGACAAGATTTCAACCAAAAAGCTCAACAAAAAGGGAAAAACCCAACCGAGCTCCTTGGTGGGCACCCAGACGTGGGCATCTCCCTGGGGCTGGACACTCGGGGGCTCCGTCCCCATCCCAGTGCAGCCCCACGGGGGCCTGTTTCCCACAGCGGGGCAGGAGGGGGGGGGCCTTGCAACATTCCCCTCGGGTGTAGCAACCCCCAGCATTTGACCACGGAAATCTTCTTTGCAGGCTGTTTACTGCTGAGAGCAGGAATATCGGTGCCGGTAGCTATGGCGACGTGGGCATCTCCGTGGGAACCGGCGAGGGATGGCGAAAGCTGTAAACACAAAACCGGGCAAAAACAAGCTGCTGGGCACGGGGCCACGGCTGGGTGTCCCCACGGGTGTCCGTGGGGCTGAGCACCCCTGGGTGCCCGCCCCCAGGGCTCCTTTGTCCCCCTGTTCCCGCAGGGAGAGGGCTCGATGCGGGATGGGTGGAAGGAGGGGATGCGTCCCCACTGCAGCTCTCTCAGTTCCCCTCTGGCTCTGAGTCACTCTCACAAACCCACGGACCCCATCCCGAGGGTGGGACAGGAGGATGAGCAGGTGCCGTGACGTCCCCATGGCCACCAAGGGCTGGTGGCACCGCTTGGAGCCACCCTGGGCACCACCCGCGGTGCTGGAGGTGGTGGAAAATGACGGATCCAGGCACTGCTGATGGGCTCCAAGCACGGCACGGGGCGGTGGGGCCAGCAGGGCCCCCGTGTGCATGGGGCAGGAGCAAAGGGGCAGCCCCGAGCCCAGCCCCATCCAGTCCCTCGGCCATTTCATCAGCCCCTCTCTAATTAAATCGCTGCCATTAGGCAAAGTGAAGGATGTTACCCGCCTGCGTCGGCTCATCTGTCGGCAAGAACCGGCCTCCCTAAAGAGATTTCTTCTTTCTTCTTCAGCATTCCCTGGAAAAATAAAGCACCGCCAGCCGTGTGAGATGCTGGGAGCTAAGTGCAAAGCTGGTGCAGCCTCTAATGGATCAGTGGAGCTGTTTAATTGCAGCCTGGTGTGATTAATTCAAACAAACCCCGGCTCTCAGCCCTGCAGAGGCCCCAGCTGAGCCTCGCTGCAGGGTCCTGGGGGGGTTGGGAACCCTCACCTGGGGGCTGTGGGCACAGGCAGGGCCTCAGCTGCTCCCCTGCCCCTGCCTCAGTTTCCCCTCACCACCTTTTCCCCAGTTCTGATCAATTTGTGTAATTAGCGGTGCTAACGACCCCTCCTGCATGGGTTAAGGGATGGCTTCCCCAGGCTTTACTCTGGGCCTTTGGGGTGCAAACACCTCCCTGCAGTGATTTGTGTCAGGCTGGATCCCTGCTGGCCTTTCAGACAGGGGCACTGCCTGTCCCCATGTCCCTGTCCTCGGTGCTTTGAACATCTCCGGGCAGGGAACACATCGTTTCTCAACACGCTGTGCTATTTGCAAAACGCTCAGATTACCTCCAGCCCCTTCCAACGACGGAAATTGTAGCGTGACTCAGACACGGCTCCGCTCCGGGCTGTGGTGACAGCTCCTGAGGTCACCCCGCGGCTGCTGGTGGCAGTGGTGGCCGTACGGGGGGGTCCCGAGGCACCCGGACCCCCGTGGGGCTGAGCACCGTGGTGCTGGGGGGCTCTGCTCCCCGTCCCCTGCGCCGTGGCCACCTTCTGCCTCCGCTCCCCGGTTCCTCACCAGCCACACGAATGCAAATTGGGAGCGAATTGATTGCGCGGGGGTCCGGGAGGCTGACCTTGAACAAGGCTCCTGACACATTACTGTAATTAATGAGGCAGGACTATTAATTTTCCATGTTGCCGGGATCCAGGGCAGTCCCTGCTGGGCACGGGGAGGGGGGAGGAGGGGGCGGCGGGGCCGCCTGCCATCCTTCTTCCTTAATCTGCCAGATGCCAGAAGGATGTGGAGGAGCTGGAGCATGGGGAAGGGGTGCCGGGGGGTGTCCCTGTGTTCATGGGGGGGCCAGGAGCAGGGGGTGATGCCCAGGGACAGGCAAGCTCCTGGAGTACCTCTGGGCTGCAGGGTGAGGGAATATAAAACATGTCCCTAAATTTCTGGGTCTGATGCCCAGGTGGCAGAGGAACATCCCCTGCCCGGTGGCTGAGCCCCTTCCCCATCCCCCTGGAAATCCTCACTCCTTTTCTCTGCAAGAAGGGAGCCTCCCCTCCCTTCTCCATTGCAGGAAAAACCCACCCTGGGGAGCCATCAGGGCAGGGGACGTCTGTGCCCCCCCCGTGTCCCCCATCTTCCCCTGGCCCCCTGGGCACATCTGGGACCTGCCGCCCGCGGCGCTTCCCGGCACTGGGGCTGCGAGCACGGCGCTGTTATTTTTCTGCTCTAATAAACACCCCTGACAATAATAGAACAAAAAAAAAAAAAGAAAAATCGGCTTTTATCGGGAGAAAAATACATCTGGAGATTATTTACTCACAGCCAATAGCCGCGGAACCAGGTCGTTAGCCCAGGCAAGTGGCTGACATGGAAACGGGGCAGCAGGAGATCCCACAACACCGAATTTTTGGCTGGGTCTGACCGTGCTGCTGATGGTGCAGCCCCCAGCAGCGTGCCTGGGGTAGGGGTGGGAAGGAGGCTGGGACCCAGCTGGTGCCCAGCATCCAGCACCGGGACCAGGATCGGAGCCCCCAGCTCCTGCTGCGGCCGCCCAGCGCCCGCGGCCACGGGAGCAGGAAACCCACGGCCCATTGCCTCGTGCTAATCACAAAGGGCAATTAAACGACAGCTTCTGGAGGGCTATAAACATCCCCGATTTAAATCCAGTGACACACGGAAATGGGAATCCAACCAAGCAGCCTCCAGAAGTACTTTATTCCCCATTATTTTCATTAGCTGCCTTGTAATTTGATTTGTCCGTCTCTTGCTGCTGGCTTTTTCCACAGCTAAGGGAAGCAACGAATGAAGCCCCCTCCAGCTCGCTGACCTGGCCAGCGTCTGCGCCAGCCACCGGTCACCTCCTGCCACCGCTGTCACCACGGCCACGTGCTGGGTGCTGCTGGTGCTGTGCTGGAAGGGAGCAGCTCCCTGGGGCCAGCAGGACCCCGAGGCACGGGGATGTGCTGGGCACCCACTGAGGTCCTGCACCAGCCTTGGCCGATCCCTAAAAAATCCCTAAAATTGGATGCCTAAAAATCCCTAAAAATGGATCCCTAAAGAATCTGTAAATAAGGATCCCTAAAAAATCCCTAAAAAGGGATCCCTAAAAAATCCCTAAAAATGGATCTCTAAAAAGTCCCTAAATAAGGATCCCTAAATAAACACTAAAAGGGATGCTTTGCTTTCCAGCAGCCTCTCCAACCCGGAGCAGCACTGCTGGTGCTGGTGCTGGTGCTTTGCTCTGTGTTTCTCAGCAGGATGCTCGGGGGGGTCCATACGTGGCACCCCGTTTCTCTGTGCCCCCCCAGCTCGCCGCAGTCCCCCCCCCCCATCTCCTGCAGTTTCCTTGAAAGCTGCCAGGCTCGGCCAGGGCACCTCTGCGCATGAGGAGAGGAGAAAACACCCAGGTCTGCATTTCCTCCTCTAGAAATTAATCCCCCCCTTCATATTTAAAGGTATCAGTGAATGAGGCCAAGTTGTTAAGTGACAAAAGAAAAATGATTCTTGCCTTCCAGGGTTATTAAAATCATGTTCTACAAGTTTAGCAGCCACAAGGAAGCCCGGATAATGACAGATGATGATAATACATCTCCAGCACAGCCTGGTCTGTAATGATACTGCCCATATCTCTTGTATTACCACCAATTACTCAGCGTATAAGTATAATGAAAATGTACATCCATTCCGGGGAACTCCATTTGCCTCCTCTCAATCCCATTTCTTCCTCTCGTGGGCGCTGAAGGAGGCGGCTGCTGCACGCTGCCAGACCCCGCTCGGATCTGGGACCCTGGCGGGGGAAAGCAGCGACCCCCCTGCACGTCCTGGCCACACAACGTCCGTCTGTCTGTCCAGACCTTTGGTCTCATCCCTGCCTGGGGACATGTGGCATCGCGGGGCGCTTAATCCTATTAAATCGGGGTGGAAGTGACCCAGATAAAGGTTGCCATCCGAGCGCACCGGATCCATCCTGCTGCAGCACCTGGGAGCCGCCCGAAGCTCTCTCTGCGGAGGATTAACACAGATATATATTTCATCTGCTTTCTATTATCTTTCAGTATATTCAGGTCAAAAAGCAGGAGACAACATCTTTTAGGATGAAAACATAATCTTTCAGAAAATTGAAAACCCGGCTCGCTGGGCAGGTGGAAGCAGCCCCGGCACCGCGCCGCTCGCTTTCGGGAAGGGCCCAGGGCCAAATTTTGGAGGTCCCAAGCAGGTGCCACCCCCTGGGCAGCCCGTGCACGTGTACGTGTGTGCCTGTGTGAGTGCACAGCCGGCAGCAGGGAGCCCTGCTGCCATCCCCACCCTGCCTCGGTGGGACCAAATCCCCCCAAAAGAGGGAAATCCAAACCGCTTTGGGGCTTGCGCACTCCCGGCCTGAACATTTCCCTCGGAGCCGAGCTGCCGAAGCAGCGTT